TGTCTTAATTACTTTTCTTGTTGTGACAACAACTAATGTAGCTGAACATCTTTTCGTGTGCTTATTTGCTGTATGCAAATATTTTGTGGTAAAGTGTCAATCTTTTGTCCATATTTTATTAGATTGTTATTACTGAGTTGTAAAAGTCTTATACTATAGATGCAGGTGGGCATGGTGGTGTACACCTGTAATCCTAGCACTCGGGAGGCTGAGGCAGGAGGATTGTTGTGAGTTCAAGACCAGCCTGCGCTACAGAGTGAGCTCAAGGCCAGCCTGAACTGCATAGCGAGACCCTATCTCAAAAAGACAAAAAACAAAAAAACTATAGATACAGGTCATTCTTCCAGCTCTGTGCTTGCCTTTTTATTTCCCTCTGGGCTCCAGCCTCAGCATGCAAAAAACATTTCCAGTGCTCTTTGAAGAGTAAATGTTTTGAATTTTGGTGAAAATTACTTACTGATTGTTTTTCTTTAGTAGTTGGTGTTCTTTGTAGTAAGGTCTCAAGTCATGCTTGTTTGGGTTTGGTTTTTTTTTTTTTTTTTTGGTTTTTCTCCGGTACCAGGAACCGAACTCACGACCTTGCACTTGCCAGGCAGGTGCTTTTGCCGCTGAGCTAAGTCCCCAGCCCCTGGGTTTGGTTTTTTGATGTTCTTTGCCATGATCTATTTGTCTACTCCAGTGTCAGTACCACATTGTCTTGTTTGCTGTAGCTGTATGATGAGTATTCAAATCAGATAGGCTAAGCCTTCCATCTTTGCGCATTCAAGTAAGCCACTGATTTTTCAACCTGTTGAACTCATGTAGTATATTTATCCACTGTTGAACCCATCTATTGCGTTTATCATTTCAGTTATTATGCTTTTCAACTCCAAACTCTAAGTGGTTCCCTTTAAAATTTCTTTTTGTTGATACTGTCCTATCCATGATTTCCTTTAGCTCTTTGTGCATATTTAAGATAGTTGACTTAAGAATCTTTTTCTAGTTAGTCCAATACTTCAACTTTCTTATGGGCAGTGTCTCATTTCTTTTTTCCTTGTAAATTAGCTATCTTCTTGTTTCTTTGCATGCTCTGAGAAAGAGACAAATAGGCAGGATTGATTGCAAGGCTTTCTCACTGACCTAGCCCCAGCCCCTATTTTTTACTTTGTATTTTGAGACAGGGCCTCACTCAATTGGTAAATCTCCCAGGTTGGACTCAAATTTTCAATCCTTCTGCCTCAGGCTCCCAAAGTGCTAGGATTATAAGCATGTGCCACTATGACTATTTTTTTTAAATTGGATACTTTATCTGGATACAAGGGTACGCACTACTTAGGGAGGCTGAAGTAAGAGGATCCCAAGTTCAAAGCCAGTTTGGGCAACTTTAGGAAAATCATGACACAAAACTAGAAAATAAAAACGGCTAGAAATGTAACTCAGTGGGAGGCCCTGTTTTTAATCTCCAATGGCAAAAAACAAAACCAAACCCAAAACAACAACAAAAACTGGATACTTTAAATATTATGTATGTTGGCCAGGGGTGTGGTGGTGCATGCCTGTAATCTGAGTACTTGGGAGGCAGAAGCAGGAGGGTCACTGTAAGTACGGGCCAGCCTGGGCTACATAGTGAGCTCAAGGCCAGCCTGAGCTACATAGTGTGACCCTGTCTCAAAAATGAATAAATAAACATTACATATGTGACAAGTGTGGGAGTCATATTCTCCACCTTTCTTGGAATTGGTTGTGCTGCCTGTTGTGATCATTGGCTTTTCCAAACTATTTTTGTGAAGTCTCTAGTCTTTTGTCATATACAGTCACAGATCTGTTCACTCTGATAGTTCAGTGGTTAGTGTTTTGGCAGATTCACCTAGAAACCCTGCAGCCAACAAGAGAAGGGAAAGAAAGAAAACAATACCCTTGAGTGTTCCTAGGGGCTTTCTGTTGTCAGCCTCCTTTAATGCATATCTAGTCCCTTTGCAACCTTTTCCTTCTCTTTGTGTGGATCTTGAAGCCTTCCAGATGAGAAAGCTTTGGTCTCTCAGGCCTGTTCAGAGCTTGTGTCCACCTGGGGGTTTGCACATTCGTGAGTTCCCTGGGAGGAGAGTTCACCCTTTAGGGGGACATGTGCTGAGACCCTGGTTATGCTTACAACTTCATATAGTGCCATGCCCTATATGTTTTTCATATGCATACAAACCTATCATAAAAGTTAATTTATAAATTAAACAATGAGATTGACAAAACAATAAAATGGAACAATTGTAATAATATACTATAATAAAATGTGAGTAGTCAGTCTCTCAAAATATTGCATTATACTGTAGATCTTAGCAACCTCAGTATATGACTTTTTTCCCCTAAGTTTTCACTTAAAGGAAGCACTTCATGGCTTCTTTCCGACATAGCTGAGTTGCCAGCATCATTGCTCTTGGGCTTTGAGGTTCTTAAGGAGAAATAGTAAGAGTTGCTTGAATACAGCAGTAAGGAACAGTGGCTCTGATACCACAACCATATGAAATGCCTAGCAGGCAAGTAGTGTATGCAGTGAGGGTCCACAGGACACTTCCTGGGCAGAACAGGATGTGATAGTGCCGTTTCATCAGAACAGTGTATAATTTAAAGCTTAGGGACTTTATTTCTGAAATTTTCCTTTTAATATTTTCAGACTAGCTGAAATTGCAGGTAAGAGGGGATTACTATATGTGGGATTATTTTGTTGGTAACATGAAAGTAATTTTTTCTTTGTCTAGTACTGGGGATTTAACTGAGGCCTTATGCATGGTTTGTTGTTTTTTTTGTTTGTTTTTTTAAAGAATAGAAGAAGGATAGCATAGTAATAGGGGGGCTTACTGAATTATAGACAAAGTGGTAGGAAATTATCAATGGTGGTTTTACATATTGTTATCTACAAGACAGTTTCTCAGGAAAACAAATAGACAATAGTGAGCTACAGACAAAAGTGGTAGGTTATTATCAATGGTTGTACTGTACTTTGGTATCTTCAAAGTGGTTTCTAAAGAAAATAAATAGAGCTATACATGAGTGACCAACTGAATATTCATTGACTATTCTCAATGGTTGTTGTAGGAAACACATAGTAATAAACATACATCCATTTACAAAATAGCATAGGAATAATACAAGCATTACAGAGTTATGGACAGATTAGTAGGAAAATATCAATGGCTGCTGTAATATATGGTGGTATCTTCAAAGTGGTTTCTCAGGGAGACAGAGATACGCAAGAAAGAGCTGACAAGTAGTTACAGCCTAAGGCTTGTGAAAAATAGCAGATTACCTCCTCACCGGTGACTCCTTTCACTGAGGTGTGACAGCTGGAAGGAAGGCCAGGACTGAAAAGAAGGACAGAGAGATTTGCACCTGTGTCTAACAACAGGCTGTTTTCTTTTCCCTCTATAGTCATGATTACCCGGAGCTCCTCCATGGAGATGACAGTCTGGCCAGAGGGAGAAGGCAGTATGCCCCGAGCCCCCTCATTCCTCTTAGACTAACTGGTAGGATGGGTCTGAGCTCTGGGGCCTCCACTTCAGAGGGCAGACGGATCTCCAGTGGTCACCTTTGCATTCAGGGCATAGGCCTTAAGCATGTTAAGCACTCTTATCACTGAGCTATACAATCCCAAAGTTATTTTTCAGTTATGTTCTGTATTCATGTTATTCTCCTGTTTTATTCACACTTCGCCCAAATCTCAAAGTTCTTTTAAAGTAATAGCTCAGCTTATTACATTTTTTTTCTAGTGCTGGGGATTCAAACCAGGGCCTTCCATGTGCTAAGCAAGTACTCCCCACTAGCTACATCCCCAACCTTTTTTTTGGTCTTTTTTAGACAGGGTTTTGCTCTGCAGTTCAAGCTGACCTTGAACTTACTTTGTAGCCCAGGCTGACCTGGAATTTAAAGAGATCCTCCTGCCTCAACCTCCCAAGTATTGGGATTACAGCTGTGTGCTACCCCACCCAGCCCTTTTTATTTTTTATTTTGAGATAGGGTCTCACTAAGTCACCCAAGCAGGACTCAAACTTTTGGTCCTCTGGCTTCAGCCTCCTGAATATCTGAGATTACAAGCATGTGCCACTATGCCCAGCACAATTAATTTATCTTGTACACTTTGGAATCATTAGGGCTTTCCTTCTACTTTCAGAAAAAGTTTTATACTCGAGATGTTTCATTAAAGTAGATGGGTACCAGTGTAAACTTACAGAATGCTAAATCTTTTCATGCTGAATAGCTTTAGTCTTTTTTACTGTGATGAAAGTTTCATAGAATTGACATGAAAAAGGAATTTGAGTTCCTAACATGGTGGGGAGTTTACATGCATTAGCTCACAAAACCTTTACCACATTATGTGACATGGGTATAATCATCCCCATCACAGCAGCCATGCAGAGTGGGAGGTGTCTCCCCAGCTTGACTGTTGAGACATTTGAGCTTAGGTTAAGCAAGTTGCCTGAAGCCTCATGACTTCTAGGTGACAGACCCAGAGGGAAAATCAAGATTTTTCTCACTCCAAAGCTCATAATCTCTTTACTGCATACTGTTTGCACTCCACAAGGGATTAATAAATATTTGGTGAATGAAGGAATGACAAAGAGATTCTGAGAGGTTCCTGTTACTGAAGCAGGTCTGGGACTTTTTGCATTCATATATTTATATCACAGGAACTCTGGTGAACCTCTACTATTTTTTTTTTAAATCTCTACTATTTTTAATTAGACACTAATATTTTCATCACTTTAATTTCCATTTTGTTAAGGTTTTTCTATATTTGCATTTTTAAATTTCTGTTTTCTATTTACTGTGATGGTGGTTCTGTATGATTTTACATGATGTGTTAAACCATTGAAGATGTAGTTATAGGTTCAGCCAGAGTCAGAAATACCTAAATGCTGACCTTAGTCACAGAGTTGAACTTGCATACACTAGGAAATGAATCTACTTGATGGATTTTTTGAGATATAGTGAAAAGAAATAGTAAATCCTTGTGGTGTTCTGTTCTCTTTCAGCTTTCAGAAGAATTATTAGACAGTTGGCTCACCTACCCAGAGAGCCAGCATGTCCCCCTCAGCCAGCATATGCTTGGTTTTGCCATGAAGTCTGTTACACAGGTGGTAATGGGCAGTGCATTTGAAGATGGCCAGGAAGTCATTCGATTCCAGAAGAATCATGGCACAGTAAGTCTAAAGCTCAATTTAAAATTATTCCTTCATCAGCCAGGTGCAGTGGCACATGCCTATAATCCCAGCACTCTGAAAAGCGGAGGCTGGAGGATTGCAGGTTCAGGCCCAGTCTGGGCAATCTAATGACAACCTGCCCCAAAATAAAAAAAATTAAAAAGGGGCTGAGGATGCGAAGGCCCCTTTTAGTACTGGCTTAATACTAATACTAAAAAAGCCATTATCCTTTCATTATGGCGAATAGTTGAATGGTGGCTTTGCCTCTGAAGATTTAAGCTTTCTTGTTTTTTAGCGAAAAGAATAATGCAAACAATAGTAATTTTTTAAAGTTAAGAAATACTCTTTTCACACAAATACTTTTTTAAATGTAAGAAGCATGTGACTGAATAGCTTTTCTTTTTTGTTTATTTTTTTTAATTTATGAATTTTTTATTTCTGGAACTTTCCATTTCATGTTTTCACACAAGTATACACTGGGCATGGTGGCACACACCAGTAATCCTTGCACTTGTGGGAGGCTGAGGTAGGAGGATCACTGTGATTTCGAGGCCAGCCTGGGCTAAAAAATGAGTTCAAAGCCAGCCTGACCTGCACAGTGAAACCTATCTGAAAAAGAAAAAGGAAAAGAAAAAAAACTTACCAAGTATGTTATAAAAGCAATATTGAGTTCTAGAATAAAGAGAAAAACCTGTATTTAATAGAACTAGATTATGTCCTACATAGACAGAAATTAAAGTCACTGGCACATGAAAATGCTAATCAAATGAATATGATTAGAAGCATTATGTTTGCTTTTTCTAGATTCACAAATGCAATTTATTTATTTTCCTTTTTAAAAATTAGTCTCAACATTAATTTGTTGAAATCATATTTCAGTTACTTTTACCACATTTCAGATCTGAGAAATTATTCCTTATATTATTTAAATCTATAAAAATAAGAGTGAATATTTAAGATAATGTGTTTAAAAAAAAATTACCAGGAACTGTGAATTAATACCCTATCACTGTTTAGTGTTGTACTTTTTCTTGTTAAAATAGTTTTCATTACTTTTGTTTGATAGTTTAAAAACATGCTTTTTCCTAAAACTTTCATGCATCTAGATATATACCAATTAAAATGGAAAATCATTTTAAATTCCACCACGCTGGGTGTGGTAGCTCATGTCTATAATCCCATCACTCAAGAGACTGAGGCAGAAGGATCACTGCTAGTTTGAGGCCAGCTAGCATAGCTATATAGTGAGTTCAAGGCCAACCTGCACTACATAGTGAGACTCTGTCTCCAAAAATAATAAATAAATAAATAAATAAATAAATAAATAAATAAATTCCACTTCCCAGAATAAACCAGTTTGTATACCCAGATTGCAAAATTAATTGATTAGGGAATTTCTAATATGTCCTCTCATTTGATTGATTTATTGATTGATTGGGTACCAGGAATCGAACTCAGGACCTCATGCTTGCCAAGCAGTGCTGCACCACTGAGCTAAATCCCTGGCCCCTGTCTTCTCATTTTAATGAAAAATCAGTTTTTGACTTATTTATTGACATCTGCATTTTTTTCATGTTGGTGAGAGCTTTTGTTTTGTTTTTGGTGGTGGGACTGACACACTAGGCAAGTGCTCTACCATGGACTACTGATCTATATCCCTGATCTTTTTTTTAAATTTTGAGACAGAGGTTTGCTAAGTTACCCAAGCTGCTTCCTCTTGCCTCAGCCTCTTGAGTATCTGGGGTTATAGCTGTGTCCCACTATGCCCAGGGAGAGTTTGTTCTTGCTCTTCCTCTTTCTTTTTGGTGGGGTACTGGGGATTGAACTCAGGGCCTCATGTATGACAGGCAAGCACTCTACCACTGAGCTACATCTCCAGCCAGGACTTCTGCTGCTGATACCTGTCCTGCCTCTTCTTATGTTATATTCCCCTTCTTTTTCCTCTCTATATAACTTTGAAATAGAAATAATTTCAAACTTAACAGAAAAGTTATAGCCAGAACAAGGAACCCTCAAATATCCTTTGCCCAAATTAAGCATTTGTTTACATTTTGCCTCCCTTACTTTGTCACTCATCTGTCTGTCTGTCCATCGATCCATCCATCCATGCTCCTTCCTTCCCTCCCCACCCTAAACCATGTGAGTGTAAAGACGTTTGCGCTCGTAACGTCTAAATACTTCACTCTGTGTTTTCTAATAAGGATACTCTCTTAGGTAGTGGCAGCACAGTTATTAAACTTGGGAAGTTCAGCATTGATACAATACTATTAACTTATCCAGGCCTGTCTTCACATTTCTTCAGTTATTTTAATGATGTTTTTACAGTCCACACTGCTTCCCTTGCCTATTCCAGGACTCAATTTAGGATCACTCAGTAAGTACTTCTAGTTGTCAAAGGTTTGTTTTGAGATGAGGTCTCTCTGGAGGCTGGCCTGGAACTCACAGCAAACCTTGGCCTCTCACATTCTGGGATTACAGGTGATGTGCCCACCACAACTGGCCATCGGACCTCTTTAATGTGAAACCTTTTCTTTCTTTCTTTATTTTTTTTTTCAGTTTTTTGAGACAAGATCTTACTCTGTAGTCCAGGTCGGCCTTGAACTCACTATGTAGCCCAGGCTGGCCTCCTCCCTATAGGACTTTACTCGTAGAAATGTCCCAATTTGTATTTATCTAATCCTGCATGAGTAAATTTGAAGTGTATTTTTGGGGGGCAGGAATGTTATTTTTTAAATGTTACTAGAAGTTGTTAAAGTTTTCAAACCATAAACAAAACTTAATACCCTTCCACCAGTAAATGGTCTTTTAATATTTGAAGCATGGCTTGTTCAGTCATGCCTCCAGGAATGACTGGCCAGTTTGTGAATTCAGAGCAGTGACAGCTGTGTCTGTCTGCTGGGAATAATGGGGAGATTTGTATGATGCGTGTTGATTTCACAGGTGCTAAAATGTGAGAAAAAGGTACACCTCACATTCAAGTCCATGTTGGATTTTGAACTGCCCTTCAAAAATCTTGCTCACTTATTTTCCCAATATTACTGTATTGTGTTTTTGATACTTAGATTGGTGGTCCTTTAAATATTTGCCTACTGTGTCAAAAATGATGTTTCATGATTAATAAAAGTTGTATTTATCTTTTGTGAGATTATATGTTTTTATAATTTTGCCAAGTACTTGTGTTTCTTTTGTGGAACACTTTCTCATGTACTTTGTAATATTTCTATTGATATGTGTCTTTTTTTTTACAGATCTCTAAGAGCTATTTATTTTTATCTGTTCCCATTTGCTTTTACTTTTATTTTAGTGTTTTTTCATGATCACACATGGAACAAAGCAAGGACTCACTCTGCTGTTAACTCTTTTTCCTCTCCATTTTGACTCTTAAGCAGAGGAATTTTTCCTTTCCAACTGTAGTTTGAAAATGTGTCTTGATTGAAATCATTAAAATATAGAGTGATAGCTCAGTTCACGAACTTAATCTTCTCCATGATTCTGGTCCCAAACCAAATTGGATGAGAACTGAATCAAATTTCCCCATAAGGCCAACACTGAATCAAACCATTGAATTTGGTTTTTGTATTTTTGTTTGTTTTTGAGACAGAGTTTCACTATGCAGTTCATGCTAGCCATGAACTCATTGTGGAGCCCATGGTTGATGGTTGGTCTCAAACTGGCAGCCCTCCCCGCTGCAGGTGCCGGGATTACAGGTGTGCGTCACCACATTTGGCCCTCACCACTGAATTGGATTGACTTGGTTCTTGTCCAGTTCGGTTTGGGACCAGAATTGTGGAAGGAATCAAATTTGTGAGTGGAGGTACGGCTGTGTTTGTACTCTGTCCTTACAGCTGTGGAGTAAATGACTGTGAGCCATCACAGGTATTCACTTAAGAGGCAGAGCCTAACTGTCAGATACGTTGGTAAGAAAGTCCTTACTTTTTAGCTTACTTTGCTCTGTATTATTTAGGAAATCTGTGTACTAGATAATAGGTATGTATACTTTGCTACTTTCAGGTTTGGTCTGAGATTGGAAAAGGCTTTCTAGATGGGTCACTTGATAAAAGTGCAACTCGGAAGAAACAATATGAAGATGGTAAGTTTGGCCACCCTTACTTTTTAAAAAGGACAAAAGCATGTATCCCACTAGTGTTATCTATGAGGAAGAGATTTTTGGTCATTTATAAATTCTCTTTTTATGCTCTTCCCCCATTTACTACAGTAGACGTTTTTCTTTAACAAAAGATTTAGGAAAAAATTTTAGTCAAAAAACCTCTAGTTCTCTTGTGGAATCAGTACACTTTACAGGATTGAAAGGATGGAAAGGATGGAAAGTATACGGGTACAATCCAAAAAAAAGGAGTTTGAAACTGGGGCATGGTGGTGCACACTATAATCAGCACTCAGGAAGCTGAGATAGTAGGATCACCTTGAGTTCAAGGCCAGCCTGGGCTACTTAAACTGTCTCAAAAACAAAAAACAAGTCCAAACATACAAAGAATCATAAATACTGAATTATCTAAAAGAAGAAAATATTCATGAAATTGTTTACTGTAATACTGTTTCTGCAAGTAGAAAACCAAAACCAAATCAGATGTCCCACATTATAGGAATTGTTAAAGAAATAATGTAAGCATTATTAAACAGTATACAGATACTTGTAAAGAGAACATAGCAACATAAAAAATTCTTTGTGTTTGCTTCAGCAGTATATATACGAAAAAATTCTTGCCATTATAACATTAAGTAAGTCCAGGCATGGTGGTGTACGCCTGTAATCCCAGCACTCAGGAGGCTGAGGCAGGAGGATCATTGCAAGTTCAAGACCAGCCTGAACTGTATAGCCGGACCCTGTCTCAAAAAGACAAAAAAAAAGTAAAAATGTTTTCGAAGTTGTTGGACATCAATCACGACTTTATAAAATTTACACAGAAAATAGCACTTTTAGTTTAAGGTAGTCCCCTTACATTACTGCCTTTTATACTGTTGTTTTTCTGTATGTTCTGTTAGTGGTTGAATAGTTGTAATGTTTTAATACTTTTATTTTGACCTGCTGCAATTCCTTTTTTTGAGAGCAGACAGGGTAAATTAAAATAAGCTAATGGAGTACAGTGGCATACATCCATAGTCCTAGCTACTTTGTAAGCTGAGGTGGGAGGGTTGCTTGAGCCTAGAAGTTCAAGGCCAGACTGGGCAACATGGTGAGACCTTCCCTCATTTAAAAAATAAAAAATAAAAAATAAAAAAATTATA